TAAATTTATAACCATCAATTGCAGAATTGACCTCTGTCGCAATGATATCATCAATATCGTTGTCAACCCCACATTTTGGTGTATTCATCACCTGAAACCCTTTTAATTACAGATTAGGCTTTTTCGAACTGTGAAAAAGGATTATCCACGGACCTAAGCTACCGATTTCATTTACCAAGTAATCGTTTTGATTCATTTATGTTGTTATAATATGAGATGCATGTTATAAAATTATTGTTTTCATTGTAATTTTTTCAATGTTACCATCAATTTACAATTTTAGGGATTCTGTGATCTGGTTGAAATTTATTACCGGGTGATAAAATTTGAAATTTTTAATTCCTAATAATCATCATTGTCATCAATTGCGGAATTGACCTCTGTCGCCGTGATATCATCAATATCGTTGTCAACCCCACATTTTAGTGTATTCATAATTTGAAACCTTGTAATCACTGATTTAGTGTTTCTGAAGTCACCTGTTTCACTGTCCAAGTTATCGTCTTATTTCGCTCGTGATTGCTTTATATTATAAATTGTTTCAGTATGAAATAGTAATGTTTCATGGTCAGCGTCCATATTTGCACATAATTTTTGAAAAACACGTGTATTGAGTGCACTATTTTTAACAGCATTCACTAACTGTATGGATATTTTCATCGCAAAAGCTAGGTCTTTTGGTAATGTTTTGGACGCCAACGTTTGACGATGTATAATACAATGTGTAGTTAATGTGGTTGGATTTTTTTGTTTTACCAATGTAGCTAAACCTGAACGTGACAAGAGCATAGCAGGAGCGCCATCGGTACAAAATCCAGCAAGATTTTCCCACATTAGTTTATGTTTTTCAAAATAATCAAGAATTATTTTCATAACTTCAACCCCTCTTGACGTAGTTTCTAANGATGTATAATATAATGCGTAGTTAATGTGGTAGGATTTATTTGTTTTACCAATGTAGCTAAACCTGAACGTGACCTGAGCATAGCAGGAGCGCCATCGGTACAAAATCCAGCAAGATTTTCCCACATTAGTTTATGTTTTTTAAAATAATCAAGAATTATTTTCATAACGTCAACCCCTATCGACGTAGTTTCTAATACTTGTGATAGTAATAATTCTTCTTTTATTGTATTATCTCCACTTAAAAATCGAACAAACATTAGCAATTGACAACATTGTGCTACATCCGTACTTTCGTCACACTGAAGAGTAAACCAGGGAGATTTTTTTATGAGGCATTTAAGCTGTACCCGCATGACCGAATGTTATTTATATCCGTACATAAATTGTCATCGATCGCGATAGTGCGTTATCTGGCTGTTAGGCGCTAAGCCGTTAATAATAAAAAATATCAAGTATAATTTCGCTCATTTTTTTAAATTCAAATTTTTTTATTCGCGGACCACTTAAGATGAGTCCACGGACCACCAGTTGGAAACCACTGATGTAAACGATTAATCGTTTGAAATAAAAACAACCAGGACAAACCTCTTTGGTTCGATTATAATTTTACGCTCCACAAACTTTACGTCAATTTATACGTTAATACGTCTCGTAATACCTCGTATATAAGCTAATAATATGTATCGGTCAGATTATAGGTTAGGTACGGGCGAGTCCTTAGAGAAGCTTGTTTATGATCGATATTGAAATAATTTAACTATTTACATAATACTTACCTACATAGGCGGTTAGTACGTTGGGCAAAAGTCAATAATTGCCACCGAGATAAGACTGTAAAATCTACCGTGTGCTCCGGTATTTATAGATTAGGTGTATATAGTAAAGAACCTCGAGCACTTTAGGAAATTTGCATATAATTCCAACTCCCAAACACTATGGCGTTGCCATAATATGATGCGGTATGGAAGAGCGGTAAATTTTGCTAAAAAAAAAAAATTAACGCGTACGAATATTAAAAATAAAATATATTACTAGTTCACGCGAAATACCGTGTTAAGTAGAATTTCCTCCAGAAAATAGAAATTCGATACAAACGAATTTGATTTCGAAAATGCATGCACTAAAACGCTGATAGTGTGTTAAAAATATGTAATATCATCTAGACCAGTGGTTCTCAATCCTTTTAGGACAGCGAGCCAAATTATCCCTGAAAATCTATCGCGACCCACACGATTTCAATATTCAAAAAGTAGTTTATGAAAATAGCTGGTAAAATCGAAAAATGACCTTCTTGGTCAGATTTACCTTCTGAAAAAGTGCTTCATTTGAAAATCGGAACGAAATTGCTGGTAGAAAAGGTATTCACGGGTAAAAAAAATATAATAATAATAAGTAAACACCATTTTAAAACTACTCGCAACGCTCAAAATCTAAACACATAAATGTCTCGGAATCTATGTGATTCAGAACAATTTTCGCGGCCCATAGTTTGAGAAACGCTGGTCTAGATCGAAAAATAAAGGAATACAAAAATACGCAATAAACAATTATAAAAAAAAATTCCAAAAGTTGACTTCAACGGTTATTCCGTGAGATCAAATGAGCTGAAATTCGGAAATTGGAGTTGTTTTACAGTGATCAAGTTTGGATTGAATTTGAATATAATTATTTCGCCGTATTGCTGTTAGTGGGGGGGGGCTGTATTTTAGCTCTAACATCTCAGCAAGCTCCCCGAATGAGATCAGAGTGCTGAAATTGTGTATAATAAATGCATGGCGATGACATTAACATCAAGGACGTGTCTATTGAGTTTATACTATATAGTCTAAACTAAACTAGTTCTATAAAACAATGTAGGTTCATGAGAGGTAGGGAGAATTGAATTCTAATGGCGGAACTCTGCCGTTCACTGGTGTTTTTTTTTTTTTTTTTTTTATTTTAATTTCGGTAGATAGTGAATTAAACAAAAATTAGCCCGTCTCATTATACAACTGAGCTCGAAGTTTAGTGATCGTAAATTATACGATCACTATATACTTTTATATGCACAATATACGCAGAGCAATTTACACACTATGGTCTCGTTCTCTCGTTAAAATGTATACTACGCAGTTAAACACGAATAACAACGACGATATTTTTGTTTGAATGCAGCCGAGAAAATGTACCACTTACCGTTCGTTTTTGAATGGTAAAAATGTATTTCTCGATTATTCTATCATAGCGCATAATCAAGCCCGTGCAAACATACAAAGCTCGGTGGACTAGTTAAATCAGAAAAAAAAAATCGTCTTAGGGTAATGGAGAAGAGTTAATAATATAATGTTTATTATATTTCGTAAATTTTACCGTTTTTTTTCGGTTTTTCGCATTTGATGACAAAATTCATGAGAAAATTGAAAAATGTCCTCTAAAAGCTATCTCCCCACATCGATTTTCTTTCAGAAAAGTTGCTACACGTAAAAACTGGAGTAAGTCCTCTTGTAAAAAAGTTGTTAACAGAAAAAAAAATAAACATTTTTGTAAATCCATAATCTTCTTCACTCCACTCAGAATATAAAATATAAAATTAGAAAATGATTTAGTCGATGCATCTAGTTAAAACAAAATAAGTAATTTTCGGTTTATTTTTTATATTTAGGATTCTCAGTGAAGTGAGGAATGTATTGGTTTTACAGTGAAGTTGTTTTTTCTCTGTAAACAACTTTACTACCAGTGATTTTGCTCCGATTTTTAAATTTCGCATTTTATCTAAAAGGAAATTAGACGGCTAGGGTTTTTTTTTTACAATATCGCAACTTAAAAAAGAAAAATGAGTTAACTCGCCATAACTTTTCCATCTTTGATCAAATGAACAGAAAATCGGGAACTAGAATTATTTTACGGGCGGATTGCGAGGATGAAATTCTGGTTAAATTTCAATACGAATTTCGCCGTGTTTTTCGGGCGGAGAATGATTTTTATGCTTTGGACTCCCCTACAGATTCTTCGAATTGAACTAGTGGGGTGGAATTTCGTACATCGCGTTAGTATCAAAAATATGCCATTTGCGGGTTTCAACTTTCAACCACCCTAACCGTTCCTACCACTATTCGTACTTGAATTTCAGCGATTTTCGATATTAGGTAGTCTCTATTTTGTCTATAAGAACTAGGGGAAATAATACGATACTGCGTAGCGGCCGAGGCTCTGGTCCACGCGGGCAATGTTTTTGTTCCGTCCGTAACCGTCGGACGTTAAACGGTTAAACATTAAGTTTTTAACGCGTACTTTATTATTACTGTAATATTTCTTGGCGCACATAATAATATTATTACAGCCCGTTCGGAATGTCTTTGAATTTATGTTATTCGGTACGGAAAATGTCTGGCCATAAACGCCGGTTCACTGTGGAAACGCGTCGTCGTCGTCGTTTCGGTTTCATTAAAACGACAAATTATCGCAACATATTACGCGCGCGTGCCGTTTCCTTTTAAATGCTCGACGATTTATTTACATTCGGCGCGCGCGGTAATGGTGCGAAATTGTTGCGCTTTATACAACCACTTAACGACTTTTTAAGTATGCATTTGCAGTGTGTACAACGTGTACATAAATCGTTTATCTCATACGGGACAGCGCAATTTATATATACGTAGTCAAACTCAAATATGTTGCGTTTGTGCAGTTAAATTAAACCGCATTTCGAAATGTACGGGCGATACTGTCCCACTTCCTCTCGTTATTTTTTTTTTTTTTTGTTTAACGTACTGAGGGATGTATCGGTGTTACCACGATGCGTGCTTTCTTTCCTGTCTATAAACGGAAAATTTTACACCACAAAACTAAGGGGTGTTTTCCGGTAGCGAATATTTTCAATTCGGTACATCGGCGAGGTGATTCGTCGATTGTACCTCGTAGTTTTCTTAACAACCGGGAAAAACGGAAACATTCAGGGTGACAACGGTTTCGTTATTTTCGATTCTGTGGTCGGAGAGACATGAGCGTCGCATTGCACAATACTCAACGAGCCAATTCTGAATTCGGTCAAATTGTCTAAACGTCCTGTCGGTTTTCGAGTTACTTTCAAGCGGTTGACATTTTCGAATTTGTTTCTGTACACAATTTTTTTATGAACGAGCAAAGGTACAAGTAATAATAATACAAAAAATACAGAACTTAATGTTATAGTTTCAGTTATAAGCGTTTTGAGTTCACTTTTTGACGAAAATCGTATAAATCTTGCCAATTCAAAATATTTTTTAGCGAACTTTGTGCAGAATAGTTTATCGTTAGCAAATGATTTTTTTTATTTTCATTCGTTCATTATTTTAATTAGGTACAAAATAATTTTTAAGATCTGATAGTCTCGCCGAATATTTATGTTAGACATGTATAGCCGCCGTCTCGATGTTATAAATATTCCGAGTTTTTGGCGCGTACACGTATTGTTGGCACTCGGAAAATTCTGACACCTCGTCTAGAGACCGCCTGATTTTTCTTGGCGGTTTTCGAGAATTGTCCACGACGCTACGAGTATGTTCGCATGTAGCGCTTTGTCTGCGGAGCCGCATTTCTGGTGGAAAATTCGTTTACCGACCAAAACCGTGTACGTTTTTCGTATCGCTCCGAATCCAAACGACAACAAGGACCAAGGTTTTCGTGATAGCCTCGCCGTTCTTCGCCCCTTCTCACCACGAGCTTGCTGAAGAGATGGGTAATCCGTATTGTGGACAGTTTTAATTTGAATTTGTATTTCGTCGTTATTTGAATTGAATGTATTATTATTATTAATTCGTATATTATACTCATAACAATAATAATAATAATAATAATAATAATAATATGTACGAACCGAACGGCGGCGGCGGACCGGACGCGACCGTCGTGTCCGACGTTCATTTCGGACACCGAAACAATAACAATAATAATAATACCCGTTTCGTCCGGTTCGACCCGACATAACCTATAATATTATTACTATCCGATCGTTATCAGTCGCGCGGCCGAGGATGGCATTCTCGCGTATTTTATCGTCCGTGTCCGCGCAATAATATTTAGGTACCCGACTGTACATTATTTAAAATAATGTTACCGTACCGACACCCGAGCCGTGCACACTAGCCGACAGCTCGGGCGTCCGATTCGTTAAATTTCCCTCCCCACCCCCCCGTCACGGGCGATAATGATACTCGTGATATTATGACGAATACCCAAAAATATTATTAATCGTTTATTTCGCAATAGTTACCTATAATATTTCGGTAAGCGCGCGTGTAAAACAGACATAATATTTCATTTCTCTCCGTCGGAGGTCGCTGCCGAACATGCGAACACGCGACAATATTAATACGCCGCGTCGTAAGGCGTATAG